GGGAAGTGTAAGACAGTTGAACCTTAACTATTCATTTGCTTGTTTTCAAGAGCCTGGGTTTTGTAAATGATGTGGAAGAGAAGAGGGCTGCTGTCACTTAGCAACACTTTCTGGTTCAGGAACAAAATGTTTCGCTGTTGGAATCTACAATCTGCAGTGCTGCTACAAAACATTCCTGAGTAGGAGCAGGGGAGCTCTGTTCTGGAGAGCTTTGGTGCAATTGAAGTCAAGTGTTCCTGCTGCTGCATTTGTGAGATGTATTAATGCTGCTCTTCATGACCATTAAGATTTTTGTTGTCTACCTCATTGTTTGTCTGCTGTGACCATTAGCCAAGTTTCCAAACATTTCCAAACAACTTCAATAATGCAAAATTATGTTTTATATTAATGGTACAAAATAATTTTTGCCTTAAATTATTTTTTCATACTGCACTTTTCAGTATCAGTCATGTACAAACCTTCTGAGAGGTTTGCATTAGCATCCCTAGAGGAAAAGAAGCCAAATGCTTCAATGTCTGAAGATTTCCTGACTTACTGCTTTTGAGTGATGATGGCATTTGGTAATGTAGCTCTTAATGAATAATAGCACGATGAGTGTAATTAGAATACGTCTTTCTTTTTTAAACACTCTGTTTTTGCTGAGATTAAAAATACTGTCAAGCAATTCTTGAATGCAAAACAAAATCGGCTCTGTTTCTCATCAACCAGTTAGTTAAGTCAGGAGGTTTCCAGAAGGTGAGCTGGGTCTGTATTTCCAGCAAGAAGCTGAGAACTGCTTCAGTTTTTCTGCATGCCTTTGGTTGAATATGCTTTTCAATGTACATATACAAGTCTTTTGTCAGTGACTCTTTTTATTGCTAGACCATGACAAGCAAAGAACTCTTCTCACATTCACACAGGTATGGTTTCAAAACTAGTTATTTTAAGTAATGTGCTTTCAATTATGAAACTGCAAAAGCATCACCTTTGCTTAGAAGATGAATCCAGCAATGCAAAAAGGAAGGTTGATTCCTATTTTCTTTGAACCATTCAAAAGGCAAAATTACAAACCTTATTATGGTTAGTTCTGGCTATAGGAGGAATGGGGATAATCTAGCACAGTGGCTGGAAAAGCTCCCTGATCTAGAATTCACTTGACTGTGAAAATTACCTTAAGGAATAGGAATACTTCTCCGGTCCAAGTTCAAGTTTTGCTGTTGTTTTTTGAGGTGTAGATGGGACTAAACTAATGCAGGAACATTTATTCTGTAGTTCATTATAGTATCCATGTTCAGTTACACTGGGCTACAACTGGCTGGCTGCTTCCAACATGAATTTTTGATGTGCTTTTTATTCTCTGTTACAATCCTTGATATCCTTATGATAACTGTGTTACATAGAGGTGATAGAGGCCCTCAGACCTGGAGATATATCCAGAGCTGTTTCTCTGGATTTGAGATGCCCTGAGCTTTTATAGGAACCACAGATGTGAGGGACAACTTCCTGTGAGCCAAGACAATGGCTGAAGGCTGAACTCTTGACTTCTGAGCAACAAGAGGAGCAGTCCCACATTTGTCTGGGGTATTCATCCAATTCATTCCATATAGGAAGTTCTGACTGAGAATATTTTGATTATTTAAAAGATGACTGATGAAAAGCTAAAAACTAAGATGGGAAATGTCGCTGCTTCCTTATCAGTATACAAGGAAGTTGCTGACTTGAGTCTGATAATTTCTGCAAGGATAGGTAGGTCGCATTCAGCATACCTGTTTTGCTTTCAGTGTGCCCATCCTGGTTTATTCTGACTGAGGGAGCACAGTTTGTGGTAATTTTGATGCATATATAATAGGCAGTTTGTGCAGTCGTAGGTGGAGGTATGTCTGGACTGCATGAAATTCAATGAAAAGGTTCCCAATGACTCCAGGGGACTTTAAATTACACCCTGACCCACCAAGTACTTTAATGTAGGCTTTAGTTCAGAATTTCAGGATCACTGCTATCACTGAAACTGTTCAAGAAGGTGAAGTTAAGCATGTACAGCATTTACAGGCTTTGCACTATTAAGACCTCTGGTTTTCTCCCTTTTCCTGTTTTCTCCCCTGCATGTATATATGCAGATAAACATTCTCTTTCCCTAAATATGAAAAATCCAAAATTTTCTTAGTATACCTCTTTCTCAGTGAAGAAAGTGTACTTAAAATAGAAAATGCTAATTTATGCATAGTGAGTAGGTCAATAAGATCTCAGCAGAAAGTATCACTCTTTTTTAATGTAAAGAGCAATGTACTATTTGGTGGGTGATTTTGGCCTTCAGTTTCCTCCCTATAGTCCTGTCTGCTGTGCAGTCTGAAATGCACAGTCAGTGGTCATATCCACATTTGAAAGGCTACCTTTGACTCTGCATGCAGAGGGAACTGTACCACATTTCAGATTACCTTGTGAAAAATAATGAATACTCTTGTATAACTACACAATTACCTTGTGAAAAGTAATGAATCAATGTTGATTTTTAACTTGTTTGAAATGTCCATTCTTATGTAGTGTAGCTTGAAAAGAGATTAAATTAAGAATGTCTTTTGCTTTCCAATTAGCTGAAAACATGGCTTTTTATTTTTGTCTGTAATAATAATGACATTGTAGTAATATGCTCAGCTATCTTGAAATATTCAGTTACTATAAAAACATTATACTTGCACTGATGGGAGTTGTTCTACTCATCTTGTTTTCTACTATTATTTTTCCTATAATTTAGTTTGATTGATCAAGTTAAATTAGTTGGAATTGGAATGTTATTTCATGCCTGTACTATTCTCTGTGAGCTTTCAGTGAGTTTCTGGGCACAGTTCAATAATGCTGTGTTTATATTCTATGTTGCTCAGATTTAACTCTTCAAAAATTTGCATCCACATCTATTTTAGACAGATAAGGTCAAATGAATCTAGCTAGCATAGCACTTTAGGAAATCACTGTACCTCATATGTCCATTGTGCTTCCATGCCAAAGATTGCTTCCACAGAGTGAAACCAGTCAAAGCATTGGGATGCATATGTTAACACCATGGAATAAAGCTTACACACTTCTTCTGCAGTCCAGAACGAGCCACCATCCTAAAGCCACGCAGGCAAGAGCATATATTCACTTCTGCTTGTACCCACTACCAAAAAGCTGGAATTGTAATGTCTTGGATGACTACAACAGTTAACTGAGAAAGAATGTGTTGACTTTTCTTATCCTCTCTTCATTTAGTGTGTGTAATGTAATGGCAAGCAGATGTCATTAAGTAAAACCAAACACATTTTTAGTTAGTGGTGTCTGGTGCATGTAATTTGTCCCACCCTCCCCTGTTTCTGCTCAGAATTCAGAGCTGCTAATTTCCTTAGCAGAATGAAAGAAAATTAGTAGATAACACATCTAAGAGTAGCAGGTAACTTCTGAGAATTTATGGATCTACAGATTCTTTGCTATTTTTATGTGCTGCAAGTTATGAAGGTTGGATCAAGTTTGCTTTGGATGGTGCCTTCTTTGAAGGTTTCTGTAAAGACTTGGCTTGGTAAAGTTTCATTTTAGTGGTAATAAGGCCAGTTTGATGTTACTAGATGAAAGTGAGTCAGAAAGGCTTGAATAAAAAACACATAGAAATGACTGTACTTCAAAAATCACGTACGGAGACAGTATTTACCTGTTTGTGTACCCACGTACTATTCCTGGTAATTCCATATTCTGTGAATTATTGCAACACAATAACTCGTTCATTTTGCAGCTGTGCCAATATGGCATTGTGCACTGGCATAATAAAGTTGTCTGATGTTGCTACTCAGATATCAAAGGAAGATCAAGATGTTTCATCAAGAGGCATCAATAAATTCTTGATCTTACTGAACTGGCTCTTATTAATACGTTGTAGGTGATGAGAGAATTCTTTTGAAATGTTATGATTAGTGAGAAAAAGAAATTTTTAGAAGACAACTTAACTTCTCTGTTGCAGATAGGTGCTTGCATAAAGGAGCTACTGAGGAGAGCAAAATTCCAAATAGTTTTGATTAGGAGATATAATCTATTGCTTGTATGCTTTTGATTTAGAGTCTGATGAGGCTGGGTGGGAGGCAGACACCTTGTCACTCCTGTGGGATTTTTTCACTTTATTTTCATTCATACCTCAGCTCAAGTATGTAAGTAATCTTGGCAGGTAGGAGCATTGGTGGACTGAATAGTCAGGTGACTCTTCAAAGCTGAAACTGGAAGGCAAATGACAAAGACCAGACAATTTGTACATCCATCTCCCAGGCTGTCATGAGATGATGCTGCCAGCAGCTTTATCCGTAGTGAGTTTCTGATAACTCTTCTACAATGTGAGGCAAGATCTTGTTTCTTCTGGCTGCTGGTCCAATTCTGTGTAGGAAAAAATTGCTGCCAATTGTCCAGCAAAACCTAACACTGTACACAGGGATCTTTGGGAAGGGAATAATGTCTTGGAAGTGACCAGTGGTAGCTCTACCTCATCTCTCTAACCACTTTTCTGTGTATTCAAAGAAGACAAGACTGATGGTCATGGCATTTTCCCACAGGTAAAATGCTTCTGGGGGAACAGTTTGGAAGCTAGTAATACATGATATTTTCTTGTGACAGGACTTTATAAACAAGTATGTACTAAATGCGAGAAAGTTAGAGAACCTGGAATAGATGGAACAGAGTAAGCTGTTGCTGTGTCAATTAAATTCAGTTCATTCCAGTTGTTTTGAGTGTGATCAAATGGATTAAACTCCATGTAATAAATATCATGGAGTTTAATCCATGAAAATAAATCTCACCAACACATTTTGGAAATGAAGAATAAAATGGCATTATGGGGTGTACAGGAGTACAGGAGCATAATTTTCTGTCCATGTAGACAAACCTCAAATTAGCATACTTACTCCTCAGTAATGATGTAATTGTGAATTTGATGTCTGTCATGTATCAGAATTGCACGGAGCATTCTGGTTTAAAATGCCTCATAATGCTGCTGCTTTTCCTTTCACCAGAGACCAGCAGAAACTGTAGATGAAGAAGAAAATGTAGAAGAGGAAGATGACAGGGGAGAGGAGGCATATAAAGGAGAATATCCAGAAGTGAATGGAGAGGAAAGTGGGAAAACTGTTAAAGAAAGAATTGAAGTGGAAAAAAATGAAAAAAAATTAAATGAAAATTATGAAGATGAAGCAGGAGAAACAGAGAATGTTGACCAAGCAGAGGAAAAGGAACTTATCCATTTAAATGGCAAAAACAATGAAGGAAATGGTGAGGGAATGGAGCATTTGAACTACCAAGGTGATCTTCAGCCTGAAGAAGAAATAAAAGAGGATTCTGGCAGTCAGAACCAGGTGAATGTTTATTCTTTCAAATTTTCTTATGTCATTCAATTTTCTTTGTCATTCATCTCAACCTTATGGTTCTCATCTGCTCTCTAAGTAGTGAATTTCTGATAAAGTCCTGAGACCATTTATGAGAATTTTGGTTTGTGGAAAAGTTGTTTTTCATCTGTACAGATCAGTTACATCAGTAATTACATTATATGCCCTCTGACTGAGAGAGAGCAGATGTTTCTCACTATTTGATGAATCTGCATCTTCTACTTTTCTTAGTATGCTGAATTTTGAAAAAAAAAAAAAACAAGTAATGAAAAAAAATTCTTGCAGTTTCCAGAAAAGCAGAATCATTATATATTTCTACACTACTTTGTCTTCTAGGACAGAGCAGATGGGTGTGTTCATGACACCAGTGCCTCATTATTTTGATGAATTGACTTTCACAAAAGTTGCATTTCATAAAGAGCTTTTGCCATTGCTTTGTGGAAGTTTCATCTCTTTTTCTTAGAAATTGAAAAATACAGTGGATATGAACAAGATTCTTCAAAGCAAGGGGCTTTAGTCAGTTTAAAAGCAAGTATTCTGTTAATTTAGGATACATGGTAATATGCTGTTGGCTTAGATGGAGGGATGCAATCCACATAAATAAGAACTCCCCTGACTGTCCAATGAACTGACCAGCTCACAGAGTGTGGGAAACAAAGTGTTTTGTTTGATGGGGAGAATCCAGGTCTGGGAAGAGTGGGATTCATGAGTGTCAGAAGCAGAGCAAATTGCTGCACATTCCCTGCCTACAGGATGCTGAAAAAGAGTTTCTTCCTCTGCATCCTGTGACACTGGGAGTGGTTTCTTGAACTTTGCAACTGGGCTTTCTTCTGTTCCTCTATGACACACAAGAATATTTTTCAGTTGAGAGAATTGAGTAACATGACATTTTCTTGGGCTCTGAATTTATTCTGTGCTTCATATATTCGAAACTTTTTTTTGTTTTAGATAAGCTGAAGTTATTTATGGAAATGGAGAAAGTGAGTGAGTGTTCACTTTAAATGCATATGTGGGTAACTGGATTCTTGATGAAAAACCTGTAGGGGGGAACCTCTAATGTGAGTGCTTTCTCCTTTGGAAGATATATAAGTATAAAATAAATGAAAATTTTAACATGATCACCCTTGGAAAACATGTTTTTCACATGAAGAATACCTTGTGGAAATTTTAATATGAGGTGCTTAATTCTGTATTGAAATGAAGTGAAATCTTTGGTACCTGATGATCTTAACAGTGCCTGTCCTTTTTCCTGAGGTTGGTCCTGGTCTTGAAAAAGCATCCACAAGTCCAAGGGTGACAATCACCAGCCCACAAGAAAGTGAAAAGAACGACCAGAGCAATGACTATGCTGCAGTTGCATAAAGAAGAAAAACGTCATGAGCAGAAAATGAAAAAGGAAAACACTTTAAATATAAAGCATGTAATTTTTTGTGATTGCTAAGGAAGGAAGGTTGAGTAATGAATGGAGAGATGATGATGCTCTATGGACTGATGAAAAACAAGCATTTATATCTACTAGAAGAACATAGAATTATTTTTACAGGGTGAGATTTTCTGATAGGATTAAAGTGGGGGGGAAATACAAGAGAACTTTATAGTAGTATTAGAAATAAATGAACTATTCTGTGGTATCAGATAGTTAGCAGCAATAGAACAACCACAAAAATTACACTCTTCCAGGGAAAGGAAAAGAGACACACCCAAATTCAATGTCAAAACTTCTTTGTCAATTTGTTCATGAAAAGAAACTATTTTTCACCTTTTAACTAGGACATGTGTAGTTTTTCCTCTAAAATTCCACATGATAGGTATAATTTCCAGGTATAACATTAGGACATAACTAGAATATGTTCCTCACCTAATGGATTTATGCTCACAGAAAATGGTTTACTATAATGAGGGACCAGTTCAATGTTAGTAAATAGTCTATTTTCAGTGCATTAAATAGAATTATTAGGTTTTGCATGCATAAGCAGCACTTATTTAGCACTATGAATACATGTGGACAGCTTGCAATACTGCAGCTTGTTTCCATTTAGAAGAGAAAATTTTGTTGATTGTCCTGCACTGATTCACTAATAGTGAATTATTGTCATCATGAACAAAAAAGCAAAGGAAGAGTACATAGTATATTAGTTTAAAATTTTGAATTTGGATGGATTTGTAATTCAGTGAAAGGGAAGCTTACTTTATTAATGAGATAAAAAAAAAAAACCACACATGCCTGGATTCGGACTGAAATTTCCATGAAACCATTGCTGTTGTTGGAGCCATTTTAATATGTGAGACATCAGGATGAACCCACCCAGCTTTCTGTAAAAGTCAGGAACAATTATTGCATTTATGAAGCCTTTGCATAGCCTTAATGGTTGGAAGTGTGTCATCATCCTTTTGAGCAAGCTGTCTCCTGATACGCTGTGGCTTAATATGCTTTAGTAAATAAGGCATTGATCCACAGTATTAATTCTCTTAATGACGCTGATTCCATTGCTCTTATCATTTCTCTGTTAGTAATGGGAATAATTTGTAGTTCGTAGAAATACAGTCCTGAGCATAATTTTATTAATTATACAAAAGAAATAGTGGGTTTCCTTATCATTAATGCTAGTAAATTATTACTATAAGAAACTCGATGTCATTTTTGTTGATTTCATGCCATTAAGACAAGAATTACATTTATGAACAAATTGAAGTTGAAGCACTGTTTAAGGAATGTGAAGAACAATTTGTCATAACTGACACTCGAACAAACATCTTCCCTTCTTCTACTAGTTATTAAGTATATTTTTCCAATGTGATAGAAATTTGTGGAGATCCTTCAGCATATTTCTGTGCTTTGGCAATGTAGGTATAAAAGACATGTTAAAAAATGTATGAACAGGGTTAGAACAGTTTGTCCTGTCACATCTCTGAATTGTCTGTGAAACCTGTAGCTTATGTTGAGCTGTCTGACAAAGATCGAAGGGAACATTGCATTTGTGATCAGTTCAAAATAAGCTCCTCATTTAGCCAAGCTCTTAAGCAAAGTATGCCTGCTTCTCTCTTTTTTTTTTTTTTTGTGATCGTAATTAAGCCTATGCTCGAATATATTTGATTTCTCTAGGATTTAAAAATACATTTATAGTTAAGTAGATGTAAAAACCAACCAAGTCTTCCCCCCAGCCCCCCCCCCCCCCCCCCCCCATGACCACCAAAAGCCTGAAACAGAATGGATAAAATAACTATGGGTGATAGTGAGGTAAAATGACACAGGCACAGGTGCCTTTATTGTTGGTTTCTATTTATAGCTTCTGAGTGCCAGTAGTTTCTGTCATTTCTTTCCTTTCCCCAAAAGTTTGGTATTTTCCACGCTTAAAAGACTAACACATATCAATAAGAATAATTTAAAGGATTAAACTAAATTCTAGGGAAATGTAATGTTATCATTTTTCTTCATAGGAACATGAAATTCCTGTGAGTCTTACTCAGCTTTGAAAATGTTTTCCCCTCTGTTCTATTGTAAGAAAGACAGGATATATTTCTTCAAAAAAGCAAATCAGACTGTTTGGAAATAGAGATATGACCATTTTATCATTCACCTTGCAACACTGACAACATGAATTTTGTATCAGGTTCTTTTATTTAGGGAAACTAGTTTATTCCTAACAAAAAATTCTAGTAGAAATTTAACTAGAAAGATACAGGTGGTCTTGCTAATAGTTTCTCTGTCATGATCTGCTGCGTGTCATGGCTTACCTCAGTTTCACCTGAGAAATACATTATTTTGTAAAGTTTATGTAATGTTATTTTATTAAGCTTATGTACAACAATTCTGAGAGTTTTTTAAAGAACTGTTTTCTTGTTTTGCTTTTATTTTTAAAAATAATTTGCTATTAAAGAGAACTAGTACAGATATTCCTATGTTTTCTCTCATATTTGTTTGATGTTAAATCTGTTTGATGTTAAATCTGTCTTTGGGTTACTGACTTTATAAATTTGGTGATTTTGCACCTGATAGGATTCTCCCATAACTAAAACTTACTTTAAAAAACCCCCCAAAAACAAAAACAACCGATTTGGTAGTTTTCCTATTGCAACTGTGAAAGAAAATACGTAGACAATGCAGCTGATACATAGTTATAAATGTAAGACTATTGGTGCAGCTACACTTGCTCAGGGAGTTTTTCAATGTCACAGTTCAGGTTAGGCCTGGGTTATTGGGATGTGTGCACTGTTCAGGCAATACTCAGCAAATGACAAGAGTTTATCTGTTCACTGGCAGCTCCTGGCAAGATTACCAAATTTCTATGTGTCTCCCTGCAGAGATTCCTAATTTCAGCAAAGCAATAAAGCATAGGCTTAAATCCTATAGGACTGCAGTTTTCATTGAATTTTAACTAATGCTCTGCTGCCTTGACATGTCAGAGCCAAAATAAAGTTAGTTTGTGGAAAACAATGAGTGAAAATAAGGAAAATATAATCCCTGCTCAGTTTCATCTAAAGTACAGTGAAACAAACTTGTGTGCAGAAGAATAAAAGAGTGAGTGTTCTGATCACTTGAAAATACAGGGAAAGGATTGTTGCTGGGCTATTTTAATTGATTACCCCAAAAGTAGATTAAAACAACAGTTAGAGAATAAATGTAAATACCAAATGAAGTATCTCCATGAAAGGTGTGTTTACTAAGTAGTTGCAATCAAAATGATTGAATGGGATACACTCAAGGATGTTTTGTTCTGGATGGCTGACAGCCTTCAATCCAAGTTTTGATTAAAAGAAGTACTGTGAACATGGCAAGAGACAGTGGAGCCACCTGCTCTCTGTAGATTATTCTGTGTGTGCACCTTTGTATCCATCAATTTACAGATGTGTGTGAGTGCTGAAACTGCAGGCATTTGCTGCGTGCTCACACACACTGCACACATAACTCATGTCCATGTTAATAATTTAATCTTCTTATAACATTAGTGATGGGAAATTATTATTGGTTGTAGCTGAAATTTGCTAAAATTACACAAGATTATATAATCTTATATATATCAAAACCTAGTAGTAACTTCATAAAAAGGGTGATGTATTTTCTTATGTTGTGTGTACACTTCAGTGCTTTGCTCAACCAAGCTCAGAAGTCTTGAAATACTGAAGTAAAAAGGAAATATTGGCCTCAGAGCTACTGGAAGCTATGGGGGCCATAAAGAAGTGGACAGGATTTGGAAAATTCAGGAAAGAAAGTGCAGATCTAGAGTGTAACATGTGACACCAAAACATTGAAAGGTCTTTAGTATTAACCTCGTGAGTGGAAAAGTCCCCCAGCACTGTCAGATGGGGCTGTCAGAGGACATTGCTTGGGACTGTCCTGCAAGAACCAGGCTGTACTTAGAAAGCCACAGGTGAGTCTCCATCTGGAATCTACAGCCTGACTGTGGTGGAGCTGGGACCCTCTGCCTTCCTGAGCTCTCTGCCCTGCAATGTGGAGACCCTGGGGGGACATTCCCTGGTCTAGAGAGTCACAAGAAGCTTGCCTCAAAAAGCTCTGTTAGACCCCATTGGCTCCTTTCCCTGTTCCTATGTCTGTTGCTATGTTCCTGAGCTACACCTTCCCTATTCCCTGACTTGCCCTCACCTTTGTACTGCCCCGAGACCAGGGTCAGCCTGCAGGCCCCTGCAGAGAGCAAGCCAGATCCTCGGTGTGTGGGTGCTGGGACCTGAACATCTCACCACATGGCTGAATTAAACATCTGAGGATATTATGCAAAGGTCCTTTTTGCTTCTTTGCCCTGGACCATGCTAGCAGCTATTCAGACTGCTACACTGCAAGGCAGGTTTCTCCTCCCAGCGCTGCCAGCATGGTGGTGTTCCTGGTGGCTCCCCACCCACTCCACATCTTTAGAGACACTGCAGAACCTTTCCTCCCTCCCTCACCCCACTGGCTGCACATTCTGGGGGCACAGCCCAAGGAGGGTGAAAGGCAGCCCTTTGCATCTCTGCCAGGCGCTCCACCAGCCTAGACAAAGGATCTGGGACATGGAGGTGCCCCCACCCCTCCCTGCTGTCAGGCTGCCCGCTCCCTGGCCAGGCTCTGTGTATGGAAATCACGGAGTGCAGGCCTCCTGCCAGCACTGCTCCGTGCCTCCTGCTCTGTCTGGTGGCTCTTGGCTCCCACTGACCCACCTTCCAATGGGCACTGGCATGGAGCTGAGGAAGGAACTGGCACAGGACTTCTCTCCAGTATGGCCAGTGTCTGTCTTGCACAGGAAGCCCAGAGTTGGACACAGGTGAGGGGAAAGGTCACCTCCCTCCACCTGCTGCCAGAGCTTTGCCTACTGCAGCCCAGGGTTGCGTCACCACCTCTGCCCCAAGGGTGCTTTGACACCTTTGAATTGGGGCTCATCCTGGGGTCCTCCATGACCCAGCTGTTTGCACAGCTGCTTCAGAGCTGGCTGTACCCCAGCATCTATTGCTGCAAGGGTTTGTCCCTCCCTGGTGCTAGAGACTAAAATGGTTTTATTTATGGCTTAAACATCTTCATGGAGCACTTCTGCCTATTGTAGCAAAATTGTATAAAAGCAGCAGAGAAGACCTCCATACCCTGACTAAGGCCCAGCACTGCTCATTGATTGAGATAAAGTGACTCGGGCCTGGGCTGGGGGAAGAAGAATACATTTACAGAGGGATCAAGCTTGGCACCCTCAAGGTGGAGAACACAGTCCCAGGGCTATCAGCTGCCAGACTCTAAAGGAGGGGGCAAGGAGAGGTTTTGGGTGGCACAAAAGCCTCTGGCCAGAGGCAGTAAGCACCCATCCTCTGCTGTGCAGAGGAGCTCAGCTCTGGGGCCCCTTCACCCCAGGAAAAGCCACATTCACATGAAGGACAGCAGAGGGGGTGTCGTGGCCTGTCAAAGGACCCCCCACAAAGGAGTCCCCAAACCCTGCACCGAGGCACTGAAACATGATGCTACAGATCCACAGTGCTGCAAGGAACAGTGCCAAACTGGCTCCCTGCAAGGTAGGTACATGGGTGTCGCAGACATCTTTTGTGAAAATCCTTTTCTTTAGGATTTTTCCCTTCTTAGAAGCTGAGGCCTCAGAAACAAAATGTAAACAATGGTTATCTGCTGCTGTGGAATGCATCAGATGTGTCTTTGATTGGCCCATCTTGAATGTTTACAATTAATGGCCAGCCACAGACCAGATAGCTTGGACTCTCTGTCCAAGCCAGCTGCCTTTGTTATCATTCTTTTCTTTCCTATTCTATTCTTAGCTAGCCTTCTGAAGAAACCTCTTCTTCTATTTCTTTTTAGTA